GTCGCTGGACTCCCATGTAGTTGACTGTGGTTCGCATCCCAGACCCGGTGGCTTAAAACTCACGCCGGGCACGTGTGCATGCAAGCCCAAGATCCCGAGAGGATAATGGAGGAGAAGGGATTGCGGCATGGCCATCCGCCCTGAGGGGTGATTTCTCGCTTTCTGTCTCTCTGTCTCTGTCTGTCTGTCTGGCGAGTGCGCGCGCCCTATAGCAAAAACCTCTCCAAAAAAAAAAAAAATTGTAGAGAAAAAAATGGTTTTGTACATGGGATGAAACAATATAAATTAAAAACTTACAAATACAAAACAAAAGCCTTTGAAGGATCCTGTTTCCCGGTCAGTGACTACCCTTGCACAAAGAAAAGCAGGGAATAGAGAGAGAGGGCGGTCTATTTCTCTATACTACACTGCAGAGAAAAGTCAAAATCAAGACTAGAGAGGTGAAAAGAATAGCACTTGGAGTGGTGAATCAAAAACTATGGTTTTGAGCAACCTCTCCTACAATGCAACCGAAGAAACGCTTCAGGAAGTATTTGAGAAGGCAACTTTTATCAAAGTGCCTCAGAGCCAAAATGGCAAATCTAAAGGATATGCATTTAGAATTTGCTTCATTTGAAGACGCTAAAGAAGCTTTAAATTCCTGTAATAAAAGGGATATTGAAGGCAGAGCAATCAGGCTGGAGCTACAAGGACCCAGGGAATCACCTAACGCAAGAAGTCAGCCCTCTAAAACTGTTGGTCAAAGGTCTGTCTGAGGATACCACAGAAGAAGCATTAAAGGAGTCTTTTGACGGCTCTATTCATGCAAAAGAAGCATTCTTAATGTAATCTTAAAAGCAGAAAAATAAAGATTTAGAGAGAATAAGTTATAGACCTCATATGGGGCTGAGCTAACTTCAAACTCAAATCTCTTGAACACTAAACTCTGTTCTTTCCACTCTGTTACACTGATTGGTGAGTTTTCAGCAGTTGAGCACATGGCAGAAAGAAACTGGCTAATTGGTTAACTGGTTTACTGGCTTGTATTTGTGGGATTAGAGAACTGAGTAGGATGCCAAATCTAGGAAGCTGAATTACATCAGGGCTTTAGTCCCACAAAAACTGAAGTGTTGAGCAAGAGGAAGTAGAAGATTTGGGGATTTGGGGCAAAATTTGCAGTTCACTAGGCACAAAGACACCCAGGCCTTACCCAGCACTCTGGGAACTGAGCCTGGGACGGTAGGTTGGAGGTGGTGAGCCTACTTGTTCTCCCTGGACTAGACTGGACAGGAGTGTGGCCTGTGGATTGGAGCCTTTGCTTCCTCCAGCTAAGAGGGAAGGTGGGACTGACTGCATTCAGAGACTGTACTGGCATGACTGCAAGAGCTGAGATGTCAGGGAGGCCAGGCCAGGTCAGGGGCAGCCTCAGGGAGGCCCTTGCACTTCATTCTGAATATAATGAAAGCTCTTATAGTGTCCAAGGAAGGACATAGAGGGGGCTGGAGTGGGGTTCCACTCCCATATTATTGTGTACCATGAGCTGGCTTAATTTCTCCTTCATTCTCTTTCGCTGAGATGTCAGGGAGGCCAGGCCAGGTCAGGGGCAGCCTCAGGGAGGCCCTTGCACTTCATTCTGAATATAATGAAAGCTCTTATAGTGTCCAAGGAAGGACATAGAGGGGGCTGGAGTGGGGTTCCACTCCCATATTATTGTGTACCATGAGCTGGCTTAATTTCTCCTTCATTCTATTTCCCTCTTCACTTGCCATGAGCACCATGACAGGACTTCTTGTAGCAGAGTGATCCTAGACATGACACGGACATGAATCTAGGAGGCTGTGGCAGTTTTTGTCCATGAGATGTCATCCAGACAGTCTAGCATAGGTTCCTGTCAGTGTTGATGTCATCACAGAAAATTCGGAAGTGCTCATATAGGCTTCATAGATCCCCAAGAACCTGCCTGCCTGTCTGCAAACTCAGTTTGAAAAACACCCTCCTGATATGTTGGTGTTCTGAGATATCTCTCTGCATTTGACCTTGACCATAATGTCCATCTGCAAATCTCTCCTTGAGCCACTTTTTCAATCTGAGCCTTAAAGTTGTACATTTTCAGGATCAGCAGAAATTGTTGCCACAGCTAAAGGTGTAACGCTTGTTCCTGCTGGTGTGAAATCTGTGGGGTTGGTGGTATCATCCACTGGAAATGGTCCTCAGGAGACAACTGGAAAGGGTGAGCAGAGGCAGACAGCCAAAAATCATCTACCTCTCCTATCTCAGGATCCTTTACTAGGTCATTTACAGAGCATCTTGAGCCATGTTACTACATGGGGACCTTCTCTTGCTGGTGTGGCTGGAAGGTAGCACCAACCTTACCTCAGAGCATGTGGAGGCTCAGAGGGGATGTGACTTACTTGTAGCCACTGCTGCTGTGAGGCTGTACCTGGGAGGGAAATCCCAGTCTTTGGAGCCCCTGACCTGGTGCTTTCACCCCACTTATTGTCCCAGAAAGAAAGAGCTTAGCATCATCTGCACCATGGCTTACTGGAAAGAATGAATCACTTGGTTTTAATAACTCTCTCCTTCTCTCTCCTCCCCTAGTACCTTATCAACATCCCTGCTGCTGCAAGGAGCCAGAGCCATTTAGACACAGAGGAGAACATGGTCACTATCTGGGCCAGCCCTCCATGGTGGTCAATGCAGAGCTACAGAGAAAGCAGTGTTTGAAAGCTATAGGCAGAGCAGGAGGCCCTAAAGGGGGGGTGGGAGGAGGGAGAACAGAGAGACAGAGGCCAAGAAAAAAAATCCAAAGGCTTGGAGAGACAAGCCTAGCCAGGTGTGCTAACCTGTTGTGACCAGGAAGCCCAAGAGGGCAGCCAGGGCTCCCCTCCGCCCCTCTCCCCAGCCCTGCCTCCAGCATGCTAGGGCTCTGCTCAGCAATAAACATGGCTCGAAGAACATCTTTGGCCCTGGCACATCCCTACTCCTTAAGGACACTTAAAAAAAAGTCTGATAGAGGTTTAGAAACCTGGGGATGATAACACATCCCAGACAGGGGGACAAGCCTTGACAAAGTCTTCCCAGAAAAATAGCTATCCAAGGTGTAGGACATGGGATTTCCTCATACAGCCTAGAACGTGGCCCTCCTTCTGAGAAGGCTGCCCTGACTTTCCCTGTGCTTGACCACCACTGTTCCCAATCAGCCTGTGACAGATTGACCTTCCTGCATGTGGGAAGTGAGAACAACACCCAGGTGATGCCACAACTTGGAGAGATGCTCTTTTGCCTGACATCCTGGTGCCCAGAAGAGTTTGAATTGTATGGCTGTTACTGTGGGCAAGATGGGAGAGGCGAGCCAAAGGACACCCTGGACAGGTATGGATGGCCCTGTAATTGGCCTTCGCTTTAGGCTTTATGAAGAGCTGGTTGCCATCATTGCGTCACTCAGGGTGGCTCATCATTCTAGGCCCATTTTCATGATGAGGAGCTTAGGGTCAGAGGCTGAAAGGTCTGAGATCACTCAGCCTAGAAGGCTTTTGTGTCAAAATACTTCAGACATCTCTTGTCTGCTCATCACTCAATGACCAGCATGTGAAATTCCGTCTCCACTCGGTTTCCCCTGCAAAAGGCCGCATTAAAATTAGCTTCTCAATAACTTTTAACTGTTACTGCTAAATTTTATTCAACCCCTACAGGAAGAATTCTCACTGACCTTTTGCATTCATATTGCAATTTATTCACTTGTTTGTATATGAATACCACCCACATTGCTCGAGCTTTTGCTGTGTGCCAAGCGCTGTGCTTAGAGGGAAGAGGCAAGAAAAATGATTAAACTATGCAAAGCACAACAAAACCAACTGCTCATCCCCAGTAGGAGTCATCTCAGTGACAGAGATGGGAATTAAGCAAAAACCCACCCGATATGATAAATACAGTAGGAAAAACAGAGGAAACCATGGAGGACTTAACCTGAATTTGAGGAATATCCTAAAAGCAGAAATGATAAAGTTTAAAGACTGACTGCACGTAGGGACTGCCCCTGTTCCCAGCCAGGTGGGAGGTCTGCATTCAAAAGACAGGTGCCCTTCTTGAGTGGTGTGGTTGGCAAAGCAAAACCGACAACTATAGATGAAACCAAAATACAGGGAAACACAAGCTTACTGTGATTCCCACAAAAGGTGCAGCAATGTGGCAGCATGGAACATGTCAGTCACAGTTCAGATGCCGGCTGGACCTGTGTCACTCACCTGGCCAGCTCCAGTCTCTGTGGCATGTCATCTGGTCCTGCTGTCCAACCCCCACAATCTTTCAGTGAAGGAAACCAGGGGCTTTGCTCCACAGGCTACTGCTAACACTTCACTCCCATCAGGCGATGCTACAATTTCTTTGCAGCAAAGTTTATGCCAACACGTCTACACTACAAGCCTCAACAAGATGCCCTGTGTTCTCTAGGAGAACAACTGAATAGCGTCAGGGTTCCTGAGTCTGTCATACACAATGAAAAAAAAGCAAAAGATAAGAATCTAGCCAGTAGCATCCCTGTGTTCTGTTGAGCCTAATGGGAAAAAAAGTGAGGATGATTTTACATTTTTTTCTTATATACATTTAATCGCTGATATCATACAGCATGCAAAATGAATTTTCCCAGAATGCCTAATATTAAAAACAATGGTAAGTGCTGTTGATGCTGTGGTGAAAAGGGGACTGTATGTTCTACACTGTTAGTAGGAATGTAAGTTAGTACAGCCACTATGGAGAACGGTATAGAGAGTCCTCAAAATTCTACAAATAGAACTACCATGTGATCTTGCAGATCCGCCCCTGGGTAAATACTCGAGGGATAGGAGTATGCTCACGCAGGAAAGCACTTGCACATCATGTTTATCCCAGCATCGTTCACAATGGCTAAGACATGGAACCAACCCGAACGTCTACGAACAGATGCATGGGTTGAAAAAGTGGGGATCATTTTGAAATGATTCCTTGGTCACTATTTCACAAAAATATGAGACTTACTCAGGAAGGAAAGTAAGCTACAACGTGGCTTCCCTGATAGCCACAGGAAGAAACTGAAATGCTAAAAGTCCTAGGAAGGAAGCTAGACTAAGGAAGAATTAGTCCATTGATACCATCTTCTACAAGGATGTGTACTTTCAGTTGTCCATGTATAGCGTACATATGGGCAAGTTAAGTCATCTCCAAGAGGATTTTGGTCCTCGGTAACTGACTCACTCACAGACTGCAGACTGTAACTGTCATATTAACCATCCACCTTCTCCACCTTGATAAAGGCACACTCCAGACAGCCGGCTCTGTTGTCAGAGCAGCTCAGCGGGGCAGACACCGCCCTCAGTCACTGGCTAACACGAGCCTGTGAGGGGCGTTGTTCCTGTGGGTGCTGGCATCATGGGAGAGGACAGCTGCCGTCACAAAGCCACAGGGGTCTCTGACGGATCCCTGCTTGGGTTGTGGTTGCCAAAATGAAGCGAGAGTTACTGAAAGACAGGGGAGAGCTCAAGCAGGAGCATGTGGAAGTGAGTATAGTTCCCTGTTGGCTGGAGCCGTCACAAGTTCCCTAAGGATGTCCATCCAGCCAGAGGGACATTGGAGCTTGTGCGTTCGTATCAGGCCAGATGGGTGGGTGTGAAAGGCAAGATGCTGCTTCATTCCCATGTGTTTATTGAGGCCCTGCTCTGTGCCGGCCACCTTTTCTAGATGCTCAGGGTAGTTACTCTCCTCTCTCTTAGGCTAGGGACAAAGAGGGTGCCTATGGACAAGGGACGAACTCTGTGATATAAAAGGTTGGAGTGAGGTCACTGCTAGCTCACAGGGTACCTTCGTCTAAACTAAGAAAAAAAAAGTGCCCTTGAAGGCTTTTTTATTTCCATTTGTTAAAAGGTGGTTGTACTAAATATTGAAATGAGTCCGAGTCATATTTGCCATCAAGGGTCATAAGAAAAATACAAAAACCAAATTTTAAATAATGGCCCATATGCTTGATTGACGCTGCTTTAGATATGAAGAATTTGTGCAGTATACAACCTGAGCAATGGTACACGACGGCCCTTGGTCTGTGTGAGTCAGCCCTAAGTGTGCTGCAGAGAGGCGTGGGCTTCCCTCCCTGCATCAGGGAATGCGGGAGGAGCCAGTCTTGAGGGAGTCCCTGGGGCACTGGGGCATCAGGGCATCAGGGAGTTCTTTGTAGTGAAGGCTTCTGCTTGGTCTTAGGTGCATCAGGCAGTTCTTTGTAGTGAAGGCTTCTGCTTGGTCTTAGGTGCTGTTTGTCCCATCACTGCTGCCTGGAGCAGATGAGAAGACTGGGCTGCCTGCTCGAGGGGTTTCCTCGGTCACCAGTGGTGTGCATGGGTCGGACACCCAAGTGTAAGTGCTGCTGATCTGCGCAGTGGGTTTTGTGCCATTCAGGTCTGCACTGTGACCACAGTTCACGTATAATGTGATGCCACGCTCCCCTTAGCTTCCAGGCACGTGGTGTACACCCATCCCACTGAAGGGGAGACTCAAGCTTGAGGGGCTGAGTCAGCCGTGTAAAAGCCACAAGTCATTCCAGGAAGACCGGGAATAATTGCCTGGTGAGCACATGCATGTGCTGTTCCAAGCTCTTGCTGTGAACTCACAGAGCTGACCCTTGCGACGATCCTGTGAAGCAGCACTGCTGTTCTGCCCACTGTGCCGAGGAAGCAGTGGAGGCCCGAGATCACACAGACAGAAGCAAGGGGCAGAACTGAGATTTGAGTTGTAAAATAGTGCTGCCTCAGAACTGTGCCAACGCATCACTATGCTAGTGGGTTTCAGTGTGTTGTTTTTTTTTTTTTTCTTTTCCAAAGAAGTAGAACCCTTTTCCCAAGTGAGATCTTCTGAAGAATCCTATAAAGAGGGGGAGCAGCCCTAGCCACGGGCAAAGTGGACTTGCAACTGCACTCCTCCACTGCAGAAGCAGGAAGCTCCTCCGTGGCCATTCAGAGCCTTGAGTGGGGACCAGGGAAACTGCCATCCCATGAGCATCAGCCTGACAGCAAATTGAGCCTTGCTTACAAACTGGCTCTGTGTCCCCTGGCTCCATTTCCTCATCCACTTCAGAAGATGCATCTGCTATGCTTTGCCATGGGAGACACATCCCACGGCATTTCACAGGGCCCTGCCAGGGTTAGTTCCCACCCTCGTTAGTGTCTGGAGAAGCTCACTGGCTGGGCCCCCATCTTCCTTCCTGCCTCTATGTCCCTCAGCATAGCACATGGCCTCCAGGTCATCTTGCCCAGCTCTCATGTCCCTGGAGCCATGTGGTTATGTGCTGCTCATGCCTTCAGTTACCCACTTCTCCAAAGAGCCTTCCTGGGAGCCAGGAAATCAATGAACCAGCATGATCCTTCCTTCAAATCCTGCACACCCTGGAGAGAAAAATCGACGGGCAAGTGACTATTCTAATCGCATGTAATATGTGCTTGCCAGCAACACAGGTGTCTTGGGAGGTGAGCAAGGGGAGTCGAGTCCTCAGTGTGGCAGATCAGCCAAGAGAACTGGGCAGAAGTCAGAGGAGACGATGACATGAGCTCTGTCGAAAGATTCCCAGATGGCCCTGTTGGATGTGGATGTTTGAAGCAAGGGGAAAAGAGAAAAATCATGGCATTTTGAGAACAGCTGGCAGTTGAGGGAAAACATGTGATTCTATATTGCTGGAACGGAAAGTGGGGTAGGGACTGGCTACAGTGCCAGATGAGGCTGGGGAGTGATCATGACCCCAAAGCATTCCAGGCTCCATTTCCTACCACCCAGCAGAGGAGGCATCTTCCTTGTGCTTTGCAGTTTACTGTGAAATGCAAGAGGTGCAAGGCTGTCAGGTTTGCATTCTGTCCTACAGGGGATGAGGAGCAGGGGGTGGCCTGAGAGCCCATGGTGGCAGGACCACATCCGTGCTGGGGGCATCTGATGCAATCATGCCATGAGGGCACCTGCCCAGTGGAAGTCTCCTGTTTCTCCAACATCACAGACTCCAGGAATGCTGCCTCTGCAGTTTGAGCTCCTGCAGAGCTTCAGAGAGCCAGTCCTGACCATCTGTGAGCTCTGATCATGGCGTCCTGGCCAGACACCGGGTGTTGGTTAATGAGAAATGAGGGCATCCAGAGCCTGGTCTGAGATCCTAAGGGCAAGTGGAAGACAGCTGATCTGGGGAACAAACTGTGTCCTCCACTCTTCCCTTGCACCTTGCTTGTTTTCTCCTTCCTCTTCCTGTTTCCTACACTGAAATGCAACCAGTATGTCTAGGGCAGACGTGGGGATCAGTTAGGGTGAGTGTGGCTCTCAGAAAAAGTGATTCATGAACACTTCAAGGTAGGATTGCATGGAGCAAAAACAGCCCAGACCTCCAGCTTCACCAGAAAGCACGAACAGCGAAGATACTATCTGCAGCAAACTTGTCTGCGTCTAGCCTCCTCAAGCACGTGACATTTGAGTCAAACCACCACTACTACATGCAGCTTCCATGGTAAACGAAGAGGGAAGGTTGCCAGATCTAGCAAACAAAAATATATGCATCCCAATTTTGAATTTCAGATAAACACAAATAAATTTTTAGTCCAAGTATGTCCTAAACAAACATACCAGGGTCATCAGAAAAGTCGTGATGTAGTTTTCTGTTTTCCTATGCAAACACTCGTCATGACTTCTCCAATGGCCCAATACTTTCAGACATACTATCCAAAATTCAAATGTGATTGGTCATCCCATAATTTATCTGTCAATATCAAAACAAGGTTAACAAAAGTTCCCATTTGACAAATGGCAAATTGCCGGTTCAGAGAAGTAAGAAGTAACATTTCAGTCCAACAGATACGGGCGGAGCACTGACTTGGGAAGTGTCTGTGGAGTGCTGGGGTAGGGGTAGGGGCTTGCCATGTAGGCTCTGCAGCAGGAGGGACAAGTGAGCACATTGTGACCATACAGGGTGATGAATGCAGGACCTGCCACGATCAAAAGGACCGAAGGGTGGGGTTCAATGGGAACCCACAGGAAACACCCTTCACTTAGCCTGGGGGCTTGGGGGTGCTGTCTGGGGGTGCCAAGCCGATCGTGGTAGACAAGGGTAACTTAACCAGGAGGAGAGAGTTGGAATGTTACCAGCAGACTGCATGTGACACAGAAAGGGGACATGAAAGATGGCAGTGAAGGACAAGGGCTGGGGGGCGGTCAGGTGGCCATGGAGGCCTTCATGAGCCACTTACAAGTTCTCACCTGTGCCACTCTGCTCTTGTCTCCAGGTGTGGGGCAGAGCCTGTGCGAGAAGCTGCTATGCACCTGTGACCAGACAGCAGCTGAGTGCATGGCCTCTGCCTTCTTCAACCGAAGTCTCAAGTCACCTGGCAGACGGGCGTGCGAGGGCCAGCAGGTGCTATGCGAGGACAGCCTGCAGGGGGGGCCCTCGGCCTTGTCCCTCAGCTCCAGCTCCGAGGAGAACAGTGAGGAGGCCACACCCCTCACGGAGGGCCTGAGAAGAACCAGAAGGTTTCTGGGGAAGTCACTGGGTCCCTCAGTGACCCAGCCACTCCAGGGGAGATAGATTCCCAGAGAAACAACAAGCACACCCTGGAGTTCTGCCCCTCTTCTCGCCTAACCCTCTTGGTTCTCAGTGTCCTCTCTGTCCACAGGAGTCTCAGCAGAGGCTCAGAGGGACCAGAGCTGCGAGGCCCCTGTCCACATGTGCTGTGATGTTTCTCAGCTCATACGCAAAGTGCCTGTAGGGAGATGGAGGTGTATAATGAAAGCCCAATAAATATCCTGATCAACACATTTTGTTTGCTTTGATTTTTTAAAAGAGGTTTTTGTCTTAGGGCACATGCACTGGTGAGAGAGAGAGAGAGAGAGAGAGAGAGAGAGGAACAAAGACAGTGAGAGGGAAAGTGAATAATCACTCCCTGGGGGTATGACCACACTGGAACCCCTTCCCCTCTTTTCTCCTCCTGGGATCTTGGGCGCAGATGAAAATGCACCCAGCTTGATTTTTAAGTCACTGGATCTGGGACTTGAACCACGGTTAACCATGTGGGAGTCCGGCAGTGGAACTGCTATGCCATCTGCTGGTCACTTGTTAGTTTGATTTTAAAAAAATGTTATAGATAATGGCACACAAATAGATTGTAATGAGATGACAGCGATGGTGGAGTAAAAAAATATCTCAACTCCCTAATCACTGAAATCTTTTTCTTTTATTAAAAAGATAGGAGGAAGTATATTTAATTGCTTTTACTAGATCACCTATGGATCATCAATCACTCACCGGTCTGTCAAGGACTGAGATGACTGCTCTTTCTGGTATATGCCCCCAAAACTCACCTGCCACCCTAGTTTTAAGAGAGTGGCCATGCATCACAGCAAACACCACGGAGCATCACTGGTCACTGTCTTGAGTTCTAGACAAGTTTTAACAACTTATTTATTTCCTACATGATTAAAAGAGACAGAGACAGAGAGAACTCCAACAAGATCTCCACCCCGGCATACTCTGGGAGGTCTCTGGATGAGAGCCAGGATCCCTCCCATGTGAGATCACTTCAGAGAGCAAAGTTTTGCCACGGTGCTACCATCTGGCTCCTAGACTTGATTGCTTTAAGAAACAGGGTTTATCCCCATGGCTGGACATTTGGAGAATGCAAATATCTACTCTGACACGGGCAGTTTAATATTATGGCGATTGTGAAAAACTGGAATTCTCCCTACCTGCCAGTAGTTATTGATTCTATGTTCCAGGCAAAAGGCAATGTGCTACCAGAACCCCGTTCGCATTTTACACATGCGCGAGAGAGAGAGAGAGAGAGAGAGAGAGAGAGGAACAAAGACAGTGAGAGGGAAAGTGAATAATCACTCCCTGGGGGTATGACCACACTGGAACCCCTTCCCCTCTTTTCTCCTCCTGGGATCTTGGGCGCAGATGAAAATGCACCCAGCTTGATTTTTAAGTCACTGGATCTGGGACTTGAACCACGGTTAACCATGTGGGAGTCCGGCAGTGGAACTGCTATGCCATCTGCTGGTCACTTGTTAGTTTGATTTTAAAAAAATGTTATAGATAATGGCACACAAATAGATTGTAATGAGATGACAGCGATGGTGGAGTAAAAAAATATCTCAACTCCCTAATCACTGAAATCTTTTTCTTTTATTAAAAAGATAGGAGGAAGTATATTTAATTGCTTTTACTAGATCACCTATGGATCATCAATCACTCACCGGTCTGTCAAGGACTGAGATGACTGCTCTTTCTGGTATATGCCCCCAAAACTCACCTGCCACCCTAGTTTTAAGAGAGTGGCCATGCATCACAGCAAACACCACGGAGCATCACTGGTCACTGTCTTGAGTTCTAGACAAGTTTTAACAACTTATTTATTTCCTACATGATTAAAAGAGACAGAGACAGAGAGAACTCCAACAAGATCTCCACCCCGGCATACTCTGGGAGGTCTCTGGATGAGAGCCAGGATCCCTCCCATGTGAGATCACTTCAGAGAGCAAAGTTTTGCCACGGTGCTACCATCTGGCTCCTAGACTTGATTGCTTTAAGAAACAGGGTTTATCCCCATGGCTGGACATTTGGAGAATGCAAATATCTACTCTGACACAGGCAGTTTAATATTATGGCGATTGTGAAAAACTGGAATTCTCCCTACCTGCCAGTAGTTATTGATTCTATGTTCCAGGCAAAAGGCAATGTGCTACCAGAACCCCGTTCGCATTTTATGGGGACACTTTTTGATTCACATCACATCTGTGTTTCTCAAGTCCTGTAAATCATGTGTTTTATAGTAAAACAATATTGAGTTCCTGCCTGCTCCAGGGAAGCTGAACTTCTAGAGTTCAGTGCTTGCCAACTTTTCAGTGCAAGAAAATATTCTAAAGTCGGCAACACTTTTAAAGTCCTAGTGCCAAGCCCTGCTTTCCTTCCCTCCTTCTAGGGAAACCACGTGATGGGCATCTTTTTTTTTTTTTTTGAGAGATTTTTGCTATAGGGCACGTGCGCTTGCCAGACAGACAAACAGACAGAAAGCAAGAAATCACCCCCCAGGGGGGATGGTCACACCGCAATCCCTTCTCCTCCATTCTCCTCCTGGGATCTTGGGCACGCATGCACACGCACCCGGTGTGAGTTTTAAGCCACCGGGTCCGGGATGCGAATTGCGGTCGACTACGTGGGAGTCCAGTGACATAGCCGTTACGCTAACTGCTGGTCCCCCCCCTTCTTTTTTTTGGGTGATGGGCATCTTTTGATAAATTCACATTTTCAACAATGTGACCTTTATTAAAAGCCTAGGTTTGGGTTCTTCCAAAATTAGACTCTTAGATAAAGACTTGAGGACAAGTTGTTTATTTAGGAGGAAAAAAAAAAAAAAAACACTGTGAGAAGGGTGAAGTAAGACAGAAACGGAAAGTCAGCCAATAAGCAATGCATCATCATGCCATTCCCAGTGCGGAAGAGCTGGGAGCCAGGGCAGGATGTGCATGTCAGGGTCATCTCATCCAAGAGAAAAGGGAAGTGAAAGTAGAGAGAGAGCAAGGTCAATTTCCATCAGTCACTGCTCCAGGAGAGGGCGGCATTTCCTTCCGGTCTACTGCACAACAGAAGGCAAAGAAATCCAGGTTCTAGCAGCTGGCAGCCAGCAGGCACTA